CGTCTGATAGCAGCCCAAAATTAACACTCAAAATTTATGACTGAGAAGGGTAACTTAAATTTGGCAGCACTGTTGATAATTCTAGAACTTAGCGACTACTTTATTTTGGCCGCTAACTTGCCGAAAAAATTCGATAATTAACAAAATTATAAGCATTTTTATGCGATACCTCCAAAATAAATTACAGAATCCCACTACTTGTATTTTTAATGCAAATTTAAATTTGAAATTTTTTTCGAGATCATAAAAGGAAAATCGGTTCTCGTAGTAAGATCTTTTACATTCGTACAGTTCTGGAACAGGTCATCAGTTGTGGGATTCTCTAACTCATTTTTTTAGTTTCCGACAAAAATCGTTAAAATTAAAATGCCTTTAATTTCGGCAATTATCAACACTTTTCGGCAAGTTAGCAACCAAAATAAAGTCTTACCCACGGTAGAAGAATGTAGGTAGTCGCATCGTCGCACAGCTGCTGGGACATTGTACTGTCAAACCAATTTTGGAATTTAAATTTTTGAATGAAAAATTATTTAAAATTGTAGAAATTAAAACATATACAAATCTACTATTTTTTAAAGAAACATTTAACAATTTTTGACATATGAATATTCCCAAGCGTTGATACTTCTACCTGAATTCTTCTACCATGGTCTTACTGATAGCAACAGTGCTGCCAACTTCAATATTTGTCGGTAACTCAAAAATGAGTTAAGAAATCCCACTACCATGGTAGAAGAATACAGGTAGAAGCATCAACGCTTGGGAACATTCATACACATACAGGTAGATGCATCAACGTTTCGGAACATTGGACTGTCAGATTTTTTAATTATTTTTCAAAAATAAGTATATTTTTATAAGTTTTCTTATAGGATTCCTATCAGAGGTTGTTAAGAAAGACATTTTTAAAAAAAAAATTATAAATTAAAAAGAATATTTAAAATTTTAAATTCCAAAATTGGTTTGACAGTTCATTGTTTAATCAGCTGTTTCAATGGGTCTACCTGTATTGATCTACCATGCCCATTGCAGATATATTTAAATATCTGCTTCACCGTAAACCAACATCATTTATCACAGCTGATCACCAGATGTGCTGTCAAAATATATTATTGCAATGGGTGTATGACATTTCAGAAAGCGATTCTTGTATGTGTTTCTGCCTTTTGTTGCTCACAACCTTGATTGGAATTGTTTGAAATCTCTTTCCTGTTGTTATACCCGTTCTACTACAGATATTTACCATTTCTGTCTTATCCACGTAAGGCTACGTTTACACCAAAGTCCAAGTAATCAACCGTTGGTGTCAATGTAAACATGTCCTAAGTGTGTAACTCTTTCCTAGCTCAAATCAATGTAACCAAAAATGTGTTATTGAATTTATCCATCTAAGATTTGCTTAAAAGCTTTTATTTATATGGAAAAATACATTGTTAATATTCAGGCGCCGGCAAGGTACACAAGAATTCAATTTAGATGATGAGGATAATAACAATTGGCGTTCCCCGCAAGAAGCCCGAGGGCGCAGTGAACCGCGACGTGGCGATATGCGTTCTCAAAGATCAATGACACCAGTTCTTTCGGCAAGACCAGATGTTCAGCCGGCCCAGCCCATGCCACGCACTCCGCCCAGACTGAAATCACGTGTCTCCCTGACCACAAGGGCTGTGGCAAATATTGTCAAAAACCGCAGTCAGGCTGGCAAAGGATTGTGAGTCCAATTACCCCATCTGATTTTAATTATTCTCCATCAAAACTTATATAAATTACAGAAGGCGCCGAGATACTGAGGATTTCGACATGGATGATGATAATACATATAGCACCGCCTCAAGACAAGCCGTGGAAGCGTAAGTCCCCTCAAACCAGCTCGTTGTTATGTTTTACTGATTATTGTGATATTTTAGAGCTCGAAGAACACCGCCCCGCTCGGCTCCCCCACCACCGCCACCGCCCACAAACAGGTTCTCTCGTTATTAAAACAATTTTCTATGTCATTTTGGTTTTTGTTCTAATCCGGCTAAAAAAGAAACAACAACAGAAACAAACCTTTGTCTGCATCGCAAAGTTTAATGATTGCTCCCACATATCTCATTAATTTCTTTTTCTTTCTTTTCCACCTTTCACACAAAAAAAAAAAAAAAACAACACCAACCAAAAAATCTAGATTTAGCGATGTTCGTAGTGTTCGCTGGACCGCTGAAGATGATGATATTGTCTTCGAAGATTGTGACTCACCGAATCCCATGTATATGATTCATGATCTTGACGAGTAAAGGACACTATTTCCATCTCAAAAAAAAAAAAAACATACACAATACACTACTTAGTTGTTTATGTCCATGAGGAGAACTTGTTGTGTCTCTAAATCCTTCTAGAGTTACGTACATATGTGCCTCAGCTATGGACTGGAATGATTAGGTACTGTATTTGCAAGCCCACATGCACGATTTTACCACAAAATATTCATTTTTTAAGAGGTTTATCTTTTTTGTAAGAAAAAAAAATTGAATTCTAGTTCTATTTTGTATTTAAGTTAAAATCGTATTGTAACTTAAAAAGTATATATTTACGGTTTTTTGTAGGAAATAAGATTATAAGAATGCCTAAATAAAATCGATCAAAAAAACAATTACCAAAAAAGTTGGATTTATAATTTAAATAGAGTGGACATGGAACTAAATGTGATAAACATTTTGACAATTATTTAAAAAAAAAATGTAATCATATGATTTCATGAATTTACAATCTTAATTCTACCATGGTTGTAAGATTTTCAATATTTTGTTTCAATATAAAACACTGTTTCTTGTTTTTCTCTGTTGATACCTAATCTCATGGTAGAAAAATATAGGTATCAACGCTGGGGAACATTGATATGTCAAAAATTTTAAAATGTTTTTTTCAAATTTTAAATTATTTTATACATTTTCTTTTTCGACGTCAATCGGAGGTTAATATAATATGCGTTTTTCAATAATTTTTACAAATTTGAATAATTTTTTATTCAAAAATTTCAATTGCAAGAGTTGTTTGACAGTTTATTGTTCCAACAGCTGTGTCAATCCGTCTACCTGTATTCTTATACCATGCCTAATCTCAACTGTCTTGTCCAGTGTAAACACGGGGAAACCTTGTCTATATAAACCTAAACAAACATTAGCTAACTCGCGTAGAGCCTTAAAATATTTACACATATACTGATAACGGTTATAGATGGGCAGCAACAAAAAAATGGGAAGTATTTAATTTATTTTAATCGGTCAATAATCACTGTTATAGCATGTTTCCATTAGAAACCGAACAACGTTGTTCGCTCTCAGAATTATGTACACAAATTAACCCGTTCATACGGCACGATTCGTAATTCATAGTAAAATAATTCCTTTTTTCAAAAATTTTGTTTGTTGATATTAATGGGAATTTATACGAAAATACATGAAATTCTCACTAATATGAATAGAAGAAATGATTGTTTTTCTCCCAAAGATTTATTATATCATTAATTTTATAATTTTCATTCACGTTTTCAACTTGTAGTGCAAATGTTGACATTTTGAACATATTTTTGTATTTTTCTATTTTTAAATTTTGCTGGAGAGACACTTGTCAAACATTTTTTCTGCCGATACAAAGTTTTTGAAAATATTGCCTCTTTTGTTTGCAGTTTTCTGTGGAAATTTCAACTTGTGGATAAAATGCGTACCTCGAATGAGAGAGAAAACAAAATGTACTTTCGTTTGAATGTACATACGCCATTCAACATTGCAGTTTTCATTCATAATTTTCAGTCTTCCCAAAAATTTTTAAAATTTCATTAAATTTTTCTATTTTTAATTTTTAAATGTCATAATTTATTTTTTCGATAAATGCTCTCATTTGTTAGGGATGGGACATATTTTTTCGTTGTTCTGAGAGTAATTTGATTTGAACAACGTACAAATATGAGTGTTCGCTCAGGAAATTTTGTGTGAAGAATAATGTAGTTTTTTCATAGTTAAGGGTCAAACAACGAATAGAGAGCGAATCAAGTTCAGTGGAAACGCCACATTAATGGCTTCAAAAAATCGATATGTAACCGAACTATTACCCCTTTTTTGCAAAAATCTAAGCCAGGCTCAAAACGCAACGCCGTGAAATCGCATCAATGCAAATTTCCAAGTTATCAATGCAAACTGAATTATCCTGCTTCTTCTTCTTCTTATACACAACAAAGTCAAGTCAGCGACGAAGGCAAAACAATTTCTTTACAAGAAAATCAGGAAAAAAGGCGATAAACAGTACAAAAAAAAATTATAAAATAAATTTTATATTGACAAAACAAAAAACATGGTCTGAAAAACCATATTTTTTTTAAAAATATACTTGGGCGATATCCAAGTAATTCCCCTGTAGTGACAAGTGAATTATCATCTTTCCAAATAAAGGAAAAACGAACCAAGGAATAAAATCTGGAGAAAAAAAATAATATTTTTATGTGTGTATATAATTAAGAAAAATATTTGAAAAACTTATTTAATGGTATTAATATACGGTTTTTTTTTTTTTTTTGGATTTCTCTTAAGAACAATATTGACCTGGATTTATCCATAAAATCTGTGAATAATAAAAATGCACTTTGTGAAAAACTTTGAATGAATGTGTGCGTGTGTGTATGTTTGTGCCTGTGTGCATTTACTATTATGTGATGATTCTAAAATCATCTACTAAATTAAACAAAGACGACAAAATATACTTGAACAGTGTTGCTCGATGCAAAATTTCATGCTTGTCCATACGCCGTCTGCTCCTTCTGCTGCGCCCCACAACGTACGTGGGCTACCTGCATAATATTTGTGGTGGTCATTTATTAATAACACACATAACAAGTGTCCGAAATGATGTCTAAATGTATTTTGTATGTCTTTAACAAATATTTATATATGTACATGCACCGTAAATAGTTTAATAAATTCGGGATCTTCTCAAATATTGTTTAGGCGATTTGTGTAATAGTTGATTCACATGTGAATCTCGGTTTCGTTCGTTTATTGCCAAGTTCATTAACCTTTTGCTTTGTTAGCACCATCCCATCTAAACACTTGTTGTCTGGTTGTGTTTATTTCTCTATTTTGTTTACTTCTACCGGCGGCCCATCGATTCCTACGCTTGTCTACTTCATACACTCAGTACTCAGTATGCAAATGTTTTTGTTTTTTTTTCTATACCATTTCGTGACGTTTCGTTAGTCATTATTACCTGAAAATTACCGGGTGCTTCATTTGTTTTAATTTTAGTTTCACTCTGCATCTCGATGTTTTACGTTACAATTTGTTTATAATAAATAACCACAATATGTTATAGAATGTAAAAAGAGATTTGCAACCACACGGAAAATTTTTCCATTATGTTAACGTAAGTTTATTGCGTTTTGTTTTTTTTTTTTGTGCCACCATGAAATGGGTTATCGATAATATAGATAAAATACATAATCAATGCAATTTCTAATGAAAAATGATTAATAATTTTAAAATTGATTTACTACCAAAAAATGTTTATTCACCAACACGAATAGGCCAAAAGGGAAAATTTAGCAGAGCTTCTCCTAACAAAAATACGTTTATATGGAGAATTTGTGTAAAGTGATTCATACTTATCGAGGTTACTTCTTTGTGAGGTTTTTAGTGTTAAAACGGCTAAAATATATCTGTAAATTTGAGAGCTTGAAAGTTTTACTATCAAATTGGAAGAATACACGAAAACCTCTGCTAATGTTCGATTATTTAAATATATTTTGACTTCTGCTATGATTATTCAAATTGTTGACCCTCTATGGAGTAGATTCGGAAGGACCTAATTAAATGTGATATTAATATTGCAACGTGTCAGGTTTGGTTACTTCCTTAAATTTATATGAGATATGTGATAATTTTTAGAAAATGTACCAGATATAGTCGACCGAAGTATTCCATTTCCATACAGGGTGAGATGAAAAAACTGCAACCAACTTCAGACTGCTGTCATTTCTAAGCCACTTGTCCGACAACTATTACAATTATTCCAGTGATAGCTCATTATATTGTTTACAAGCATACAAAAGCATTTTGGTGAGAATTTTCCAGAAAAAAAAATTATTCGTAATGAAATTCAAGTGTTATAGCGTGATTTATTTAGATTTGGTTGGAAAACCACAACCAGAGCACTCCAGCATTTAAATATGAATAAATCTTTTGTGTCTCGTACCATCGCTCGTGCCGTAATACTGGTAGCGTAGCCCGACGTCAAGGAGGTGGACGAAAGAAAACTGCAACATCAGGAGAAATAGTTCAACAAGTAAAGAAGCGACTTAATCGAAACTCGGCTTCGCAGTGGCCGAAAAATGGCTAGTAAACTGAACATATCGCAATATTCCATTCGGCAAATATTGAAAAATGAGATCGGGGTAAAGCCATTGAAATTCCAAATTCTAAAAAGTGCAAGAACTTACACCGCAACAGAAAGAAAATAGACTCAAAAGGGCTAAAGAGTTGCTTCGCTTGACCGAAAGTGGTGAACTGCCGAATTTGGTTTCCTCCGATGAGAAAACATTCATTGTCCAGCAGTTTGTAATGAAACAAAATGATCGTGTTTACCTGTCACAGAGGTCAGCTGAAAATGTGCACCTTTGGTTGGCCACCAGAACTCAAGCTCCAAATATTATCGCGAAAATATTCTGGAGGGTGTATTAAAGCCTTGGACACGCAAACATTTTGGCCGCAGACATTGAACATTCCAACACGACTCAGCACCATCGCACTCAGAACGCGCCACACAAGAAGGGTTACAAAATGAGGTTCCTCGCTTCATTTCCAGCGCACAATGGCCACCAAAATCTCCAGATACCAATCGATTGGACTATTAGAACTAAAAAGTACCAAAGTGTCAATTAGCTCAAGCAAGCGCTCCGTCGGGAATTGGCCAAAATACCGCAGAGCAACATTCGGGCAGTGTGTGACGGTTTCATTGGCCGTTCGAAAGCCATAATTCGTGCCAAAGGTGACAAATCGGAACAAATCTAATTTTTTTTCTAAATGTTGATGCTATTTCCGACATTTTTTGATTTCATTCAATAAAATTTAAAAAGAAAATTTAAAAATTATCTCACCCTGTATACCCTCTCTAGCCATATGGCTGAGGGTATAAAAATATTATTGGTGTCATAATTACCATTACCATCACAAAGCCGACAAACTGACCTAGGACAATCCTCTTTTCTTGAATATAAAATTGTTGCTTTGTGCAAATTAATTAAAGGAAACACCTGTTGAAAACGAAACGAAAATGAAAAGAAAACAAACCATGTTGTTTGATCTACGCACACATACATTCACCTCACCCAACACTCCCAGTGTTCATTAACAACAACGTCACATACAAAAAGCATTCATCCATTCATTCATGGAAATTTAAAGCGACAACAAATCTTTCAAATCAAAATTTCAATGGCTTGAGTGTGCCAAATGACCATAAATAGATGAAACAGCAAACATTAAATTCTCAAATCTGCTCAAGTTGCATTGTTCCAAACATTTGTATTATGTTGTATTAACTCTTTTTCGTTTTGTTTGTATTCCAGTTTAGCAATTCCCCCAAAATGAGCTTCCACAGTCGCAGTTCTAGTGAAATAGACGCCATACCATATGGTGAGATCCTGCAGATATGTATCAAGGATTTTGAAAAAGATTTCGATTTTGCCGATGTCAAGGAAAAAGTACGTGATTGTTTCACAAAAACGGAGTTGGACTATATAGAAAAGGCGGTAAGAGGGAACAAAAAAAAAATGTTTTCCTGCATTCGTTTAATCTGTACTCATTCCACTTTTTTTTATTTATTTATTTTCAATAACAGACAGGCAAAGAACAAATTCAACATCTTATATGGGTCTTGGTTGCCAAACCCGATGAGATAATAACACAATTTCTCGATGGCATTGTCTATGACTATAAGTGGATTGTGGAAAAAATTCAAAGTGAAGTTACAAATCATAGCGATAAAACAGAATTGTATTTGGAAAAATTACGTGCCATACAGAGCAAGAATGAAGCGCACACTCAGTACAATGTACATCGCACAAAGCCTGTAAGTATGCCTGCCATCCACAATGCTAATAACAAAGTCAATTTTGTTTTAAAACTTCCATGTGTCTTTTGTAAAAAAGTTTATGGCACTAGGGCGAAAACTTCGCCTTTTGAATCCGAAAAAAACCTACAACAGTGTTGTGCTCTTGGGCGATCTGGGCAGTGGTAAAAAATGGCTGGCAATCGATGTGTGCTCCGATTTCAGGGTCATGAAACACATGGGCTTTAACATATTCTGGATTGATTGTATTTATTGTACAAACCCTGAAGAGGATTACAATGCCCTCAAACAGCTGATGTTCAAATTAAATCCCGACTTTAATTTCAATGAGATTCAATGCGCCAATATTAAAGATAAAATCTCAACACTTCAAGTTAAAATTAAACACTTGCTGGAATCGAAAGAATACAAAAAGTGCCTGCTCGTGCTGGCCAATGTGCAAAATACCAAAGCCGAGTCCGTTTTCAAATTGGATTGTAAACGCTTGATAATAACTCGCAATCAGAAAATCTATGATACTCTGCCAGATAAAGTGAATTTGAAAATGAAATTAACCGAAGGTTTGACATTGATGGAATTCCACACGTTACTCGATAAATATATACGAAAATATAAATGGCGTGAAGTGAATCCCGAATATGCCAGTGATATTTACTATGCCAGCAATGCCGATCCCTATATTTTGAGCATAATTGCCAGGCAATTGCAATATAAACGTTCCAATTGGGATGAATGGAAAAAGAATTTGGATACATTACAGTGAGTTCGAAAAACAAAATTGAGAAAATCCTAAAACCTTATCTTGCCATTTCATTCTAGAATACCCGATGAAAAATTTCGACGTGATATAGAAAATTCGTTACAGCTATTAACACCGGAGCAATTGCAATTGTATGCCACATTATCAATATTTCCACATTGTGCCAAAATACCAGTCAAGGTAAGACAAGTAAAAAAGTTGGAAGTTCATCAAAATAACGAATATCGGGAGGTGTCGTTTTATGGGGGCTATACGAAGGCGTGGACAATTTTCTTTCATAGGCTGTAGTATCCATTACGAACTTCAAATAGCAAATTTGAAACAATTCCGGTGGATAATGTCGCTCAAATCACCAAAATACCGAAAATAGGGTGGTCCCATTATATGGGGGTAAGCGAAGCCCTGGACCTGCACAGACGATTTTCTGTCATAGGCTGTAGTATTCATTACGAACTTCAAATAACAAATTTAAAACAATTCCGGTGAATAAAATAGCTAAAATCATTAAAATACCGAATAAAGGAAGGTACCATTATGTGGGGGATATACGAAGTCGTGGACCTGCACAGACAATTTTCTGTCATAGGCTGTAGCACCCATTACGAACTTCAAATAGCAAATTTGAAACAATTCCGGTGAATAAGGTAACTAAAATAATCAAAATACCGAATATCGGGAGGTACCGTTATGTGGGGGCTATACGAAGCCCTGGACCTGCACAGACGATTTTCTGTCATAGGCTGTAGTATGCATAACGAACTTCAAATAGTAAATTTGAAACAATTCCGGTGAATAAGGTAGCTAAAATCATCAAAATACCGAATATCGGGAGGTACTGTTATGTGGGGGCTATACGAGGCCCTGGACCTGCACAGACAATTTCCTGTCGTAGGCTGTAGTATCTATTACGAACTTCAAATAGCAAATTTGAAACAATTCCGGTGAATAATGTCGTTAAAATCATCAATCCTAACGTTATATAGAGCCTTTACGAAGACCTGGACCTACATAGCCTATTTTCAATACCAAAAGTCCTGCAGACATAATATACATTTGAGTTAAATTCTACTTTCTACCTATTCTAAATTCTACCTACTTCATTTCGTTCGGAAACTAGAGTGATTTCCACAGACGGACGGACATCGCTTCATCGACATAGAATTTTATCATTATATGATCAAGAATATATATATATACATATACTTTGGGGGATCTGAAATGTATATTTCGAGGTGTTACAAACGGAAGAACAAACTTAATATACCCTCCCTACTATGGTGGAGGGTATAAAAATGTAGCTAAATTAGGAATCAGTAAAAGAAGTTTATTATGTCTCATTGTTGGGGAAAAGGCACGTGCGCACGTGTTCTTATCCAAAAGAACTAGTTATGTAACAATTAGGTAATTTTAAAATTAAATATTGTTCTTTTTTTTTTTTTTTCTTATTCCCCTACCCCCAGCTTTTGGCCAACCTGTGGCAAAAAAATCTCTCCGATACGGAAAAAATCATAGAAAAGCTCCACAGTAAATCGTTTCTTGAAAAGGAATTATTGAGTGATGATGATACCACAGTCTGTAGCTTACGTTATATCTACAGTTCGTACATTAAAAACTGTCCCAGCATTCAAAATCTTATCAATGCCCAGCAATTGCATCGTGCCGTAATCGATTATTACAAGTAGGTATTGCTACCAACTACAATTCGATCACAACATTAATTTGCAAAATTTTCTTATGATTTCAAAGGGTTGAAGAACATTTGGATATACGCATAGATGTGGACTTGTATTTTGCTCCCGAACATGATAACTATTTCTTTCAATGTCTGGGCTATCATTTGTACGGTGCCAATTATATCAACCTTTTCCAGCGCCTTTATATGGATTTTGGATTTTTAGGACAAAAAATGCGCCATGTAGGTCTGGCCAATACAATTGCCGATCTGAAATACTATAAAAAAGAAATAACCTTGAATTGTACATCGAATATCATGGACAAACTGATTACATTCTTGGCCAAAGTGGAGGAGAAACTTTTGCATGCGCCCGACTGTTGTCTACTACAATATGCCTTATTGGCTAATGAAGAGATGATCAGGCAATTGGCCTCAAAGCAAATAAGTCAATTTCCAAGGAGAATGTGGTTCGAGGAAACGTAAGTTATAAATTGTATTTCGTTTTTGTTTTTATTGCAGAACTTCCAAACAAATGTTTTCCTTTCCCATAGAGGCCGTTTCCATCAGCGCCGTTTTATACATAAACTACACAGCAGCTGTAAAATTATACGCATTTTGGACAGTGACATTTGCATAGTCGTTCTGCATAACAATGAAACGCATCTGGTGGATATATCGTTGGACACTTTGTGTTCCAATGTGCAGTTGATAAGGGAATCGCCTGTCAATATTATTGATATTAAACCCTTTAACGATGCCAATCACCTGTTGACTCTTGACTCAAAGGGCCAGCTGAAATTGTGGAAAATCTATGATGAAAAACGCCGCATGATTGCCCAGCGCCGTAATTCGGCGAGCAAGTTTAATCTGGGCGAATACAAGTTTTGTCGTCAACAAATTGCCAGCTGTACTTTTCAGCAGTGCATAAACGATGACATTATGGGCTTGAGGCATATAGTGGCCTTCTATATGGAATCGCCGGACAATAAGCTGCACGTGGCTTTGGACAATGGTGACATTATTGTATTCGATTGGACACATGAAGAATTTAGAACCAATCACTTCTATGTGCCCTTCAAAACAGACATTGTGGACATCAAGTGTATTTGCAAAATCAATTGCACCCATTATATGATCCTACATGGCAGCACTGAAACCCCGGTAGATATAACTTTTATAAATTTACGCAATACTGGAAAGGAGAATATAAATTTCGATTGGCCACGTGTCCTTAAGAATTTTATCTACTACGAAGTGTGTGGCGATTGCATTTTGATGGTCTATCAAAATGCCATAGTTCGCTTGAGTCCCAGTTTTTATCCCGGCTATGTGGGCGGAAGCATCGAGGTGCTTTTCGAGGACAATAACTTCAATATCAACTGTGCCAAATACTCATTGAAATACAACTATTTGATGGTGGGTTCCAATCCGGGTCTTCATGTTTTCGATCTATCCAAGCCGGTCAAAGTGCTGGAGAGTATTGTCAGTGAGAACGTCACCTCCATTGATATTTACGATTTGGACGATGAGGAGTACAAGTGTATGGTTACATGTGGCATAGAAAGGAAAACGATAATCTATTTACTGGGTCTATGCAAGGCAGCGGATAAATTGGATTGGCAGCACAACCGCGCACACAGCAATCAATTGGTGGGCGAACAACGGAGCGCCATACGTTTTAAGGGTAAACGTATGTTCGATGTTGCCACATATGGCGGCCAGAGCTACCTCTATGCCATTGATAGCGAAAATAGAATCCATCAGATATCAACATCCGATGCGAAGAACTGGAATATCCTTAAGATACCCAATCTAACACTGCCACAAATAACTGCCATTTGTTGCCAAGGCGACAAGGCTTTTGTTGCCATCAAAAGCCAAGGTATTTACGATTTACATCAACACAAATACGTCGGAGAATTGCAAAAGTCAGTAGTTGTAAATAATCTTAGATTAATTCATGGTGACACCCTAATCGCCACCTCCGACTCAAACACTCATATAATTATTCTAAATAATAATAGTGGACTTTGTCAGCAGAGAATCGACTTTGTGGCGAAATTTTGCTATGCGTTTTTGGATAACCATTACATGTTGGTAAATGCATTTGGCAGCATTGTGGTAAGTTGGGATGTGGTGGAATGTAAATTATTTCCAGCTACATTTTGTATTTTGACCTTTACACACAGTTCGTAGCCAGAGATTTGAAGCATTTCAATATTGGAACTGAAGCTTTAAATGGTTTGGCCGATTGCGATCTAAAAGCTGGCATGGTTTTCCTGGGTTTTAAGGATTTCCAGGTGGAGGTATAGAAAAATTCAACAATTGTTATTGGTTAGAGATTTTTTGAATTGTTTTATTTTTCCAGATTTACGCCCTGCGCGCCAATGGATCAAATGTCGAGTGTAAATCACTGTATTCACATCAAGAAAGTAACTGCCAAATAACATGTTTAACTGCCTCATCCAATGGCAAATTGTTTGCCGTGGGATTGAATACATCACCACAAGCCCAAACCTCTGAACATTGTATGATGCCCAACCATGACTTAAAAACTGCCAACAACAATACGCCTGTATCTTGCGGTGACATCAATGTCTATAAACTCAACAACACAGATGATAAGTTTACGGCTGACAAAATATTCTGCCTAAAATCGCATACCAGTCCCGTTCACGATTTGCATTTTTCACCACAAGCTGATGTACTTGTTAGCGTGTCGGGACAAATATGCTTTTGGAACATATCTTATGTACTCAACAACCCCTTGACTGCCAATACTAAAAAAAGACATAGCTCTAGATTTTCATCACAAAGAAGTGCCGAAGAGGTTGATGCCACCCATGTGCTGACCCGTAATCGCAATATGAAGGCGGTATTCCGTAGTGAAATGAAAAAATCATTTTGTAAAAGTTTGTCTTTGCAAGCTTCTTCGTTTGATTCGGATGGCAACAGTGATGGCGAAGTCTTCGAATCGGAGGTAAAACAGATGCAACAGCAGCAGCAAACCGAAGAAAGTTTTTGGCAATATCTAACAGGGCCAGAGGATAAGGCCGAATTATTGTCATGTTATAAACTGGATGGTAACGAGGCCATGCAGTTGTTCGCAAACCACGACTTTAGCCAATTCTATACCATAGATGACGAGGGCGTCTATTATAATTTAAATATCATTCAACAACCCAGCAAATCTCCCATACTCAAAGAAGATTCTCCAGATACAGTTGATTTGGGTGATTATTCTTCGAGATCTGGCAGTGAGGCGTCTGCCGATACAGAGAATGGTAACACACTTTACAAAGACATGGATCGCCGTTTATCGTTGTCATCGTCTGCGTCGGGCCGCGATGTCGTCGACAATTACCAAGCATGACAACCAATGCCGACAACGGCGGCCCACCCCAGCACCAAACAGTCCAGTACTTATGCTCTCCTTCTTCAAGACTATTCTAGTTGTATACAAAACATGTTAACGTCCTTTTTAATTATTTTATGTATTTTGTTATTATTTAGTCATTTCTTTGATTGTGCATTTTTTATGTGAATATTTTAAGCGTTATTAAGAAACACAAACACCCACTCAAATCTAGTAAGCATAAAGTAAAAGCAAGCAATCAAAAATATTCTAAAAATATATATATTATATTGTAAATGATAATTTACAATTAAATAATCATTAAATTTATACAAAAAAAAAAAAATAATAAAATATAAATATATATACACAACATTGTTACAATGTTGCAAAGTCCGTGCAGAGTATTTATTTTAAGATTTGGAAAGAAAATAACGACATTTGCAGCATTGAGAAGATAAAAGAAATTTATTTACGCTATCTCGATTTAAGGACGATTACAGGGTGAGATGAAAAAACTGCAACCAATTGCAAACTGCTGTCATTTCTAAGCCACAGGTCCGACAGCTGTTAAAATTATTCCAGTGACAGCTCAATATATTGTTTACAAGCGGACAAAAGCATTTTAGTGAGCATTTTCCAAAAAAAAGTTATTCGTGATGGAATTTAAGCGTTATAGCGTGATTTCTTTATATTTGGCTGGAAAACCACAAGTGGTTATCGTTAGAGCACTGCAGCATTTAAATGTGAAAAAATCTTTTGTGTCTCGTACCATCCCTCGTTACCGTGATACTGGCGACGTAGCCCGACGTCAAGGAGGTGGACGAAAGAAAACAGCAACATCAGGAGAAATAGTTCAACAAGTAAAGAAGCGACTTGATCGAAACTCGGCTTCGCAGTGACCGAAAAATGGCTCGTTAGCTGAACATATCGCAATATTCCATTCGGCAAATATTGAAAAATGAACTCGGGTAAAGCCATTGAAAGTGCAAGACTTACAAGAACTTACAACGCAACAGAAAGAAAATAGGCCCAAAAGAGCTAAAGAGTTACTTCGTTTGATGAACTGCGAAATTTGGTTTTCTCCGGCGAGAAAACATTCGTTGTCCAGCAGTTTGTAAACAAACAAAATGATCCAATCGTGTTTACTTGCCAAAGAGGTTAGGTCAGCTGAAAATGTGCACCTTCGGTTGCCAACCAGAACTCATGCGCCGGTCATGGTAATGGTGTGGACCGCCATAACAGCCGATGGTCGCTCTCCGCTCGTATTAATCAGATAATAATCATCAGAATAAATGCCAAATATTATCGGGAAAATATTCTAGAGGGTGTATTAAAGGCTGGGCAAGCAAACCTTTTGTTCGCAGACCTTGGACATTCCAATAGGATTCAGCACCATCGCACTCAGCACGCGCCACCCAAGAATGGTTACAAAATGAGGTTCCTCGCTTCATTTACAGCTCAAAATGGCCACCAAAATGTCCGGATACCAATTCGTTGGACTATTACGTCAGGAGTATTTTGGAAAGCAAGGTTTGCACTAAAAAATACCAAAGTGTCGATCACCTCAAGCAAGCGCTCCACCAGGAATGGGCCAAAATACCACAGCGGGCAGCGTGTAACGGTTTCATTGGCCACTTCGATCAAATCTAAACTGATTCTAAAATTTGAAGCTATTTCCGACATTTTTGCTTTCATTCAATAAAATTTAAAAAAAATAAATAAAAAATTATGGCGTACATTCCGTAAGCGCACAGGTATATGTTAAAAACAAATTATTTTTAATATTATTATTTTTTTAAATTTATTTCGCGAACTTATACAAATTGGTGGTTGTCTTACAAGGTTTGTAAAGACAAATCTTAAATTACAAATGATAGTGTCTTAAAGACATAAAGTCAAGGGGAGTTAAACGATTATACAACTAACGAATACACTAAATACGGTGTAAACAAAATATGGACGATTTGAATTACAATTATAAATTAAACTTAATTTCAAACAAACAAAATATTCTGAATGTTCTCTTCTTTTGTCGATGACATTATGTATCCAAGATCAATGTCCCTTTCTGAAAGAAAGAAAAGAAACATTTTTTTAGCTTTGCAAAAAATCTTAGCCATCATCTCATCTCTTACCCAACTGTTTTAAATTATACTTTTATCGAGAACACTTGCTGTGTAGCTTTTAAAATCGTTTAGATCATCGAGAATTTCTGAAAAAATCAAAATCAGATTTAATACCGGGCATAGTCTTACAATGAAATCATTTTACAAACCACTTATTTGTAGACTACCAGAGCTGTTTTTATATATGTCATAGACCTCCTCAGCGTTATCACATGTCGTATGTTTCTTGAACATAGCTTTACGCAGACTTACCTCTGAAATGAAATGTAAAAACTATAAATCATATAAATATTCAGAATAACCAAACGTTTCAAAATACTCACTCCTCCGTACATTAAAACGATTCACTTGAGGTCCAGCCGAATTAATGGGACACTTTTTTAATGATGAATTCGCGGTAGGTTTGGAAGCAGAAACATTCAAATGATTTGCTTTTACTGGCGCTGGCGTTAAGGGCAACATGGAACAGTTCCCCTTCATAGAATCACTGGGTAATTTATGTTGTCTTTGGGCCTGACCCCCTGTTGAGGGCGAATTGCTATACAAAATACTACGTATGCTCGGTGATATACCAATTGAAGCAAACATTTGTTGCGATTCGCTTAACTCATCGGACATTAAGAACACCTGGGATTTGGTAGTGCCCAATGGATTACCATCTGGTGGCTTGCCACCGAGTTCATCCATAAATTTACGCAATATTGAACGTAATATTTTAAAACGTTTTAGGATACGTTGTTCCTCCACATGCTGGCCATTCGAACATTTCAAAATGGCCTTGCATTCTTGCAGAATCAAAGAGAATTTTTTAAACAACGCAATGCTGTCTCCATGTTTTTGCAGTCCTTTCTGGTTGACGGGTAATTGGAAGTGTTCATATAAAAAGTTGGCCATTTGCACGACATCCTCAAGAGATTGTTTGTTGTATTCTTTGTCGCAGGACTTTACAGCTTGATTAAGTAAATCATAATAACACGATGTGAAAGCATGGCTATCGATAATCTCCTGTATGGCTCGCTTAAAGTTACGTACCTCATCGTTGAAATGTTGTTCTAAGACGTGGGCATACATATTGGAATTGACTTTGCTTTGTAGTGAAGGTATAATGCAAGAATCCAGGGATTCGAATGATGCCAAACAGCTGCGTACAACTGTCTTGACTGGAAACCAAAAAAAAAAAATAAACTCATAAATGCCTACATTCAATGCACTACAGATTTGTTGATCTGAAGCCTTTTATAAGCAAAGCTTTAGATTTTTGATATAATATAAAATATTCTCTTCTTTGATACCTTTTTATATTACAAAAAATGTTTTCCTTTTCACACAGATACTTACTCTTTGCATTTGCCGCAAATGCTATGGCAAACATACCAATTTGAGTAGTGCGATCGATGTTTACATCAAAATCTGCTATCAATTCATCCAACTGTGTATCATCGACATGTTTATCCTTTATTTCCATTCTCAATCTCTCCACCGATAACTTGTCATAGTCCAAAAAGCAAGTGTACACCAAACGCAATAAAGCCTCATTGATGTAATCTTCCAACTGATAGAGAGCATTTTCCAAAGATATACCCTTAATTTTACGATTACTATCGGTGATTGTGGAACCAGTGTTGCATTCTTCCTGAAAAGCCATGCACTCCCTTAATACCTTTTGACACAAAGCACTCAAAGCTTTTTTATCCTGTTTTAATGCCACATTAGCAAATGCTAAGGTATGACTTAGAATCATATCAATATTAGAACGTATTTCTTGGCTAGCAATCTTGGCTTGGTTTTGATTTTCCGCATCTATGTTAACTTTTTCAGCAACAGAGGAATTTTCATTTTTATAACTTGTGTATGGGGCCAATTGATCCAATACCAGATCCATGAGATCTACAAAAGTGCTTTCTTCTTGGACACTGAATTCTCCACCACTTCTGCAAGATTTTAGCATTGCAATGCACGAACGTAAACGATCCAGACACCAGTGAATTCGATCTATAAAATGTTCCTTACCAGCCTAAAAAGGGATTATATGACATATTTGTCAATTGTCGACTTTCATTGATATATACCTGTATCAGTATTCCATGAAATTCTTCCGTTTTAATGGTGCGTTCCATATTTCGTATACATGTCACAATTTGTGTAAGACAAAGATAAATGGTCTCGATTTGATCATTCGGATATCCATTGCTGTGTTTCGACAGGAATTTTTGTAGATCTTCCGAAAGCCGCAAGAACTCCAAGCAAAACGCCTATAAAGGCAAACCATGAGCAATATGATAGCTAATTATGAACAAAACTTACATTTAACTGATGCACATTCAGTGAAGATTTATTTATTGCGTATTTACATTTGGACAACTGACTTAAGAGGGATTCTATATTAAATTCTTCCATTGTGGTCAAAACCCAGAGTTTTTTGTTGGAATTGGAGCACTTTTAAAAAGTACGCGCCCACAAAATAATGGGTACAACGCCTTTATGGACACACTTGCGACTTTGTATTGTTGCAACAGTGATGCATACCTTTAGTACGTAGTTGCTGTAGTGGTTTTCATATAACAGTATGTTTACATAAAAGTCGTTATCTGGTTTGAAAATAGTCAGGCTATGGTAATTGGTTATTGTAAAGTAGACTTATGGTAAAATTAAAGGTGTAAGTACATAAGAAGCTTGAGGTCATGCCCAGACATATTCTGTGACATTTCATAAAGGGATTACAGAGCCGCACTAAAATCCTGCCGTCGTTTTCCATTATAATTTGACATTAATATGCCTAGCCATTACTTCAGGCTTTTTTTATACTTGCACCTTACGAATATAAAGTATGGTAGAAGAATACAGGAATTGAAATTGTTGGAATTGAAATTGTTCAGATTTGTAAAAATTGTTGGAAAAAAAGCATTTCATAACAACCTCTTATTGGCCTCGTGTAGAAAAACACATACAAATACATGGTACAATAAGGAGGTAGAACAGCTTCTTGAAACTACAGAAATACAGCCATGAGGCTACGCCCGCTTATTGTCAGAATTTTTCAAAATTATAGCAACAAGTTTTTTTCATTTATTTGGTATTTTTTTATTTCTAAGATGAGATGATCAAATAGCGCGAAAGATGAATGAAATGCCTGGATGTTATCTCAAAAATATGATTCTAAGTGTTCAATCTTTCAATTCCATGACAAATCTGGTTAATAGTATTAATCCGCGCTCCGCAATTTATTTTCAAAACAACAAATACATACACAAAATTGGCAGAATTCGGGCACACTTAGAAAAAATTTTAATCAGCTGAAAGCTCTACCTTACCTTTTTATTGTACCAATGCAAAATCTACTTATTTTTGAAGAAAAGCCATGGGACTATGGAAAACATAGAGACTTGGTCTTGATTGGTCAATTATTAAAAATTTCCTAAAAATGTTTATAATTAATTAATTATTTTTTATCGTGAGTTTACACAACAAAGAAACAAAATTTTTAATTATATTAGACAACAAACAAACAACATTTTTAATTATATCACATTTTTCTAATTAAAATAGGGCAAGCTGTGATCGAGAAATTTATATGTGCTTTAAAACGCGTTTAGATACAATTTTTTATCCGGATTAACCCACATTGTCAAGATTGATTGATCCAGATTTATTCAACCAGATTTACAATTCATATATAGATCTCATGAGACGTGAGCTTGAATTTTATTTCAAAACTATAATCCACACTTTTTAATCTTTCAATTCAGTGGCAAAGTAGATTAATACTTTAATACGCACCCTGTTATGTACGTTTCTTCCAATAATTGAATTTGGAAGTAGTTTGCTTTTATTTTTCAAAACAATAAATATATACTCAAAATTTCGGGCACACTTAGAAAAAAGTTGTAATCAGATGGTAGCTCTACCTTACCTTTACCATATGTAATATAATGAAAGACAACATTTTTCTGGTAAATTTGATGTGTGCAACCCATGCTTGTTATGCCCACCAAATTAGTTGACAAGTAACGCGTACAATAAACGTCACACGCAAGTGCATGTGACGACAATGTCACTTCATTTTTTCCTTATCAACGCCGTTTCGCATTAGTTTAGCATGGCTCAGCTCTCTGGGTTTTTGGAGGATTTTGCTTAAAAATTATTTTTTCTTTGGAATAAAATTGGAAATAAAAGTCATTCGAATATAAATTTACATTACTCTGTGCGACCTATGAGAAAGGCGAACTGCAATGAAACCTCAGTAGTGTGCATTTTTAATGAAGAGGAAGAGGAATAAATCAATCCATACGTAAACAGAAAAAGACAAGTTAAAACTACATCTACTAACCACTCGCTCTGCTGCTGCTACTGCTGCTGTACTAAACCCCCCTCCCATAAAACAAACAGAAGGCAGGATGAGTTCGTCCACATCGAGTCGCAAGGACCAGGAAAGGACCAAATTGATACAGGAAAAATGTCAAACATTGCTAACGCAAATGTTGCGAGATGAGGACAACAAATACTGTGTGGATTGTGATGCAAAGGGTAAGCTTTGTGTGTTGTGGTGTTGGAAATATCTTCAAAACGTTGAGGGGTGGAGATTTTGCTAGCGCTGACACTAGCTGTAAGCCGGACGTAGTCTATAGTATGTATTTTTGGATAGTTGGTGATAACAAATGATGATGGGGTGGCAATAAAATAGTTGGATTTTTATCATCATTTTTTTTTATACATTTGCCATCAGCCGTTCGGTCTGCGATTTGCCGTGATGACGTTTTGACCAATTTTATAATCATAACAGAAGAGATGCGTCATAACTTACCAAACAGAAGCAACACAGGCATTGTTTTGTTGTTGCTGTCTTAAAGTATTTCGTATTTAATTTGGAGCCAGTGCTGCTGCTTCTGTTAGTGTTGTTGGCCAAAATTTTTGGGGCTTCTGGCCGTTTTTGATTTGACACTTTTTGGGTTTTGTTATTTTTTGTTGCTTTGTTTTTGTTGTTCGCAGTGTAATTAAGCGACGGCATTGACCATTTGTATGCATCGTCTGTTTATATATATTTTTTTTAATTTTTCAACATCATTTTCCTTTTTGTGTTCGACTGATAAACAAAACAGCAAACATGCAGTGACGTGTGTGTAAATACGCGGCATTGCAATGGCTTGTTGCTATCTGTGGCCCCTCAAGTAAATGGTGATTTCAATTAATATTTTTATCCACGCCTTTGCAATGAAAATTCCAGAAATATATATTTTTTTAAAGTAAAGAGAAAAAGTATTAAAAGAAGAACACCCCCTGCAATCGTTGTCCTTATATTGGACCAGATTTCGTGCCTCCATATAATTAGCTTTATATTAATAAAACGAAAGTAAAAGTTCGTGTTTATGTTGGCGTTTTTCAGCACACTACCAATTTAATTTTGTGTCACACACACGTATTTAACCACACATTCCTGTTTTATTTTCCAGGTCCACGATGGGCTTCTTGGAACTTGGGCGTATTTCTTTGCATACGCTGTGCTGGGATACATCGCAATCTTGGCGTTCACATATCACGAGTGAAATCTGTCAATTTGGACACATGGACACCCGAGCAGGTCATATCACTGCAGCAAATGGGCAATTCTCGTGCTCGAGCGGTCTACGAAGCCCAGCTGCCAGACGGATTCCGTCGCCCCCAGACTGATACTGCACTGGAATCATTTATACGTGCCAAGTATGAACATAAAAAGTATTTGGCTCGTGAATGGGTCCCACCATCACCTCCCAAGGTGGATTGGGCCAAGGAAATTGACGAGGAATTGGAAAGACAGAAACGCAAGAAGAAGGCGGCACAAGCCAATACTTCATTAGGCATAGGCGTGCTAAGTGGTGGTGGTGCGTCCAGCACATCAGCAGACAAAAAACCGGCAAAATCCTCGCCAATACCAGCACCCTTACCCAAACCAAAACCAGGACAAAGTGGTAGCAGTCCCAAGGTACAACGTATTTCAACTAGTTCAACAGGCGCAGAAAACAATCAAAACAACGACTTGTTAGGTTTAGCTTCACCAACAAAACCGGTGCAAAATGCCTTGACGGGCCAAACGTCGGCATCATCCTCAAACATAAATGATTTGCAAAACGACACTTTCAGTTGTTTCTTGAGTGCTACGCCCGCCAATAGCGATATTGCTACGCACCAACAGCAGCAGCAACAAACCAATAATACAAATTCCTCCACCCAGAATTCTCTCGCCAAGGAGGAAGAAGACTTTTTCAATCAAGGTTCCCTAAACAGCGGCGTTGGTGATAAAGACAAATCAGGTAAATTGACCAAGGACAGCATACTGGCCCTATATGGCCAGGCTCCTGCCAATCCGACTCCAGCAATGAACTTCTTGCAGCAGCAACAACAACAACAGCAAGCCTCAATGTTTGGTGCTGCTGGTGGGTTTACTGGTATGGCTCCAGGGGGTTTTATGGGTGCTGGAGGGCCAGCTGCTGCCCAGCAGCATCAATTCATGACTCCACCTAACTCGGCCAGCATGTATAATGCTCCGGTAATGACAGCACCAGCAGCCTTTACCGCGCCCGGCATGGGCGGCGGTTTTGCACAATTCCCTATGCAAACAGGTTTCCCACAAACACAAAACATTGGAGGCATCATGGCCACAGGCCAGCCCGGCAGTCTTATGCATGCAAATCAAAGTCTTATGACTAACATGGCCGGCGCCAATGGTGCCATGATGTTTGGAATGCAGCCAACGCCTGCAATGTCGGCGCAACCAGCATTCAATCAAGGTCTAATGGGTGGATTTCCAACTGCTAATATGGCGGCGCAACCAAATCTTGCTCCTGCTGCTCCAGCAACCGCCAGCTTGCAACAGCAATTTGGTAATCTTAACATTGGCAATGTGTGGCAATAAACTTTTACACGGCTGGCTGATCTTGCAACATTAACTTGCCGTGATTTTTGAATGAAAAAAAAAAACAAAAACAATTCCCAATCCCCACCCTGAAAATATACCCCCCAAAAGTATTTGACTTGAGTTTGCTGAATTGTATGTGGTCTCGACTTTTTCCTGATTGTGAATATAATATCAGGTCAGGGTTCTGTGTAATTTAGAAGTATTTGTTTATTAATGTAATGTAATAATTTTTGATCGTAACATATACAACAACAAAACACACCCATACTACTATACATTTAGATATGCTAACAGAATTTTCCTTGTTCTTTCGATTCCTCCAAACAAAATTTCTTCTCTACGAAAAAACAAAAAAAAAGTAATAAATCTTGTAAAGGTTTGAAATCACTTAATAAAAATTAAGTATATTTTTAGCTTAACCAAGAGAGACTTTCAATTCACACACCCCGACCAAGGAAAATAAACTTAAAATAACTAAATATAATTCTTAAATTAATAACAATAAAAAAGATATATACCTATTCCTCTTTATTTTTATGGTGAAATAATTGTATAACTTTATAAAAGAAATAGGATGAAATTTAGTTATATTATAAAAAAGAAGAATGAATAGAATCAAGTTTTTATGCAGATAATTATGTTCCACTGTCTTTCTCTTGTCTATTCTGTTTGTGTCCCAATCAACAATATTTTTGCATTTATTTTTTTCTTTATTTTTATCAATAAATACGTTATTAAAAATTAAATGCTATTTGTCGGAGACGCATTAATTAAATTCGATTATTTTGAAAGGAATCATATAACGAAAGATCAATTAAATCGGAAGACATTTGTCATTAATACTTGTTGGATATGAACATTATCGTAATCCAGGCGTCATCTAAAGCTGAAAGTGAATGAATAAACGGCAGATTTTGCGTAAATATAGATAAAAGTGAATATGTAAATGTAAATATGGTTATAAACAGGCTGGCTTTCACGAACGTTCTGTGAAATAAACATTCGCCAACATGAACCCGCATTTGTTGGTGTGCACAGTACTTTAGACTAGTAAATTATCCGATCTACATGTCCCTACTACAATTGGCCGATTTCTCTCTCACATATTCGTAAACAAGTGGTTTTGTTCTTTTGCCAGAGTTGCCAGTATTTTCCTGTCTCTTCTAATTGAGAGAAAGTGTTACCCACTTAAATTCCCAATTTTAATTGAATTTCCCCAAAATAATCCCCAAAACACATGTATATTATTTATTAATTAAAAAACTTCGTTCCCGTAGTAAAACTTCGTTCAGTGTTTTTATATACTCTCACTAACAAAATAGTTGAAAAAAAAAACATTGTTGAAAATTTGTTGTTTGCAGATTTTGTGATGAATTTCAATAAGAAAATTGGAATTTTATTTTTACTCCCTGCACCATAATATGGAGGGTATATAAAGTTTGTCAATCCATTTGTAACACCACGTTTTGTTATAGCTCCCATATAATGGTACCTCCCTATTTTCGGTATTTTGGCGATTTAAGAGACATTATTCACCGGAAATCTTTCAAATTTGGTATTTGAAGTTCGTAATGGATTTTTTTGCCTCTTGTCATACGTAAATATTTCAGATATAATAATGACAATGGCCCACATGAGGTCAGCCAGTAAGTCCGTTGATTACTGGGTTACGCCTGCCTATATCAAATCTATTACCGTAGATGACCCTAAAACTCCAAGTTGAATCTTTTGTCCATTTTGAAAATAATTTCCCTGGTTTAGGGGGAAAACTCCCAAATACTGGCAACACTGTTTGTATTGAATTGGTTGGTTATTATAAGTCGATTATTCGATTAATCGAAAGTCGACTTATCTATCCCTAACTTGGTTGGTTTTTATTATTATTTTTTGTGAAGTAGTAGAAAATGTACGTGTCTCTTTTAAAACAGATTATATTATTGTTTGGATTCTGTTTCTAAAAAGTTTTTGCGGTTGTTTTTTACAGAGGCCGTTGTTTTCACAAAATACTTTGCATTCACTTTTAAAGAGCTGTTCCATACGACCGAAAATCAGGGCAGATTTACGTGTCTTTTTCGAATCGAAATTTTAGGGGTAATAATGGGTGATAAGGAAGAGCTTAAAACTACTGATGACAAACAAAAGACAATCGGTGATGGAAAAGAAACAAATGAGAAATGTCGTGAAATAACTACAAAGGAGGCATACTTTGCCAGCTTGAATGAATGGGTTAAACGTGCTAATATCTCACAAAACGCCATGGCCATGTTCCCCATGTATCTGATGTCCTGTTATCCCCAGCTGTTTTCGCAACCACCACCTCTACTGCAACAGGGTGCTCAACAAGTAGCGCCCAATAGCCAAACCGGTAACGGAGCTGCACCCATCCCACAAAATGTAAATGCCGCAGCAGCCATGGCCGGATATAATGGATTTCGTATAATGAATGAACAGAGCCAGGCTGATTTAATAAATCAAACCGGTGGATATGAATATGTTGTGGCCAGTTTGTGGAAGCGCGGCATTGCGGAACTCATTGATATGATCATTATGCTGTTCCTGAAAATTGTCACAATATTTGTTGTTACCAATGTTTTTGGATACAACATAATGCTGGACATGGACAAGGAGGTACTCAACAAGGCAATGGAAAACGAAGATTTCGGTACGGCACTTATATACTCTCTGGATTTCCTGGCCTTTTCATCCGACTTGTTAGCATTTGAGATTGCCACAAAACTGTTTGTCTGCCTCTATGAAGCAGTTTTGACGACATTTTTCGATGGCGCCTCTCTGGGCAAACATGTTATGGGCTTGAGTGTGAAATACTGCGAAGCAATGGTACTACTACCAGCAAATATACAGCCTGCGCCCTTGGGACCCCAGGTGCAATTGGTCTTCCAAAATCCTCGGGTACAAATTCGTGCTTTACTGTATCCAGCAGAAACGCCAAAATTTAAGCGCGCATTTATGCGGGCTATTGCCAAAAACTTAATTCTAAGCCTATTATTCCCCATGTTTTTCTTGATGGCATTCTTCAAAAATAATCGCACAGCCTACGATGTAATGACAAAAACCATTGTGGTGGAGACAAGCAGACAACCACCCGTCTTAAGGAGACCTCAACAAGCACAACAGTAGCAGCGCTGGTGATGGAGCCATATTTGTATTATTTCATAATTTGTTGTGTTTTTTATTGGTTTGTTTCAACTTTTAATTTCAGCTTGCCATAAAGAGGTTTTTTGTACATTGCATCTTATTATTATTTTCAATTTTAAATTGAGGTGTGTTTTTATTGTAATTTTTTGTAGGCAATGAGAAATTAAATTATTATTTATAAAAACAAATATTTAAAATCGTTCATTTTACTTGCACATTCTTTAGGGTCTGGGCCACAATATTACCTTTTTCAGGAACATGTAAGGCAGCACCCTTGTAGCAAGCCACAAGAGCGTCGTTGGTCTTGAGGTCTGGGGCACATGTTTCGAAGATTTTCTTTTTTGGATTCATTTGCGCATCTGGCTGACGTTGATAACCCTCACAATGTACTAAATCGCCGGGCACGGCTCCAGCTGGTGGACTTAGGATCTCAACTTTTTCCGGTGTGGATGCACACATTACCATAGCCTCTGAGGTAACGCCGCGCATTTTGGCTGGCTTAAGGTTACACAAAACAACAACCATACGATTTTGCATCTCCTCTAGAGGAATATATTTGACGAGACCCGATACCACTGTGCGTGGTTGAGCTTCGCCACAGTCAATCTTTTCCAAATATAAACTGTCAGCATCTGGATGACGTGACACCTCTACAATTTTACCAACACGCATATCTAAACGTCCCACATCAATGGGAAGATCTGGGGTGGCATTGTCCTTTTTAGAGCTTTCAGATGCGGCTGGCTTTTCCTTCTTGGGTTTCTTCTCCTTGGGAGGAGCCTTGGCAACCGGTTCCTCAGCTTTCGTTTCCTGTTTGCCCGAAGGGGTAACATCTGAACACAATGATACAGCTGATGCACCAGGCACAGGAATTTGTTTCTTGCCATTTTTGATTTCCAAAGCAATTAATTGCGACTTGGCGATTTCAACTTGTTTTTGTAAGGCCGCATTCTCAGCAGTCAGTTCCTTTTTCTTTCTAGCTATGAGTTCACGTCGAATCGCTGCGAGCTGTAACATTAAAACAACAGTATTATAACCAAACTTTTTAGCCTATGTTTTGGGACACCAATTTACCAATTACCTCATTCTTGAGGGACTCAATAATATCCAAGCTACGCTTATTGTTTTCTACAACCTGTTCCATTGTAACCATGTTGTGGGATATATATTTGCTATTACTTCTAAAATTGGAAACAACCGATCCGCCGAATCGAAAATTAAGAAATCTTGAGAACATTGTGACGTAGGGATAGTTAAGTCGACATCCGATTAATCGTGTGATGGGAACCTCTTTTTTATGCTATGTTCTCATAGCACATAAATCTCGTTGTTCGCTCTCATACGCCACGACTCGTAATTCATAGTAACATAATTATATTTTTCAAAAGAAAACATATAAAAATCTACTTGAATTTGAAAAGACATTTAAATTTTTTTGACATATCAATGTTCCCAAGCGATGATGCATCTACCTGTATTCTTCTACCGCGGAAATGTTTCATACAAAATTTGTAAGTTTTTGGGAGAAAAGAAGAAGTGTTTTTCCCGCTCTTCTAAGCCATTAAGTTGAAAAATTCTTATAAAATACTTCAGTGTTTGTCATAAAAAAATGTAGCATTTGCTTATCAGTAACGTTGTACGTTGTTCGCTTGTCGTATGACATACGTTTACCTTCACTCAGTCACTGAAATGTACTTAAGAATTTTTTGATTTCATATAAGAGAGCAGAGAAGGTGTAGATCTTTCCTTTCCCTACTTATGCATAAACTCGGGAAAAATCTTTTAAAATATGTCAGTCAGTAACAAGTTATTAATGTCCAGTAACATGTTATTAATGTTTTCATACGCCGTACGTTCTTATTTTGGTTTCTGCTCTGGCATTCATAAAAGATGATAGTCCACCCAAATGTCAATGAGTGTGTGTGTGTGTGCCTCAACCAACTTCACACACAGATTTATTATCATCATCGCCGCTTGTGGTTATTTTTTGGGTGTGTATTTAATTCTGGAAAAAAAGTGTTCTAACAAGTATTTTTACAATAAAATTTGTGTAAATAATTTAATTTTTCTAACAGTTTTTCATCTTTCATCTAGAGTTGTAAGGTAAATCAACTAACATACTAATATTTAACAGAAAAAAGTGTTGTGAAATTTTGTGATTGAGTCCCAACCCTTAGGAAAGAAAAAAAAAACTATATATACATAAAGAAGAAGAAAAGCCACAAAAGAAAAAGAGGAATTCGGAATTCTATTAAAAAATATGTTTTTTTTTTTTCAATAGAATATTGGGGCCATTTTCTGTTTCGTTTTGAGGATTTACAATAAAAAAATTTGTTAGGAAAATTGGAAATATTGTGAAGTGCGTATTTCTTGAATAGGATTTTCTTTCCAGTGTTCATGTGTACTTTTTTTTCTTCTTTCCTTTCGACAGACAAAAGACCTTGCTCCAGTCAGGGTATTCATTTTTGTATCATACTATTTTATAGTGCTCGCCTGCCACTCCCTTTTATCTAGTGACACTGACCGTGTCCCCCCTTTATCCAGTGAGCTTAGACAAATCCATTCCATTGTTTGGGGGTGGGTGGTGTTGCTGATGAGTCGCTTTGGTAGGGGTTGTTGCATGTGTGCTTTAATCGATTGGTTAATGGCATGATAATGTAAACAAATAGAAGAATACAATTTCACAGCACATCGTATGCTTGGTAAATCCGCTGGATACGTATAGTAGATACGTACGTACATGTATAATGGCGGTGGCGGTGTCCGTACAAGTCACTTGGTCTGCTTAAAAAAAAATAATTGTTGCTATTTCGCTAAGGTTATTTGCCTTTTAGTACGATGTACTATATAGTGTTGTTTGGTTGTCTTTTGTTGTTGGTGTAATATATCAGCAGGTTTTTTATATTATAGGCCGCACAGACATTTATGAGTACATGTGAAGCATAGTCAAAGCAAATTGGTCATGTTCAATGCAAATAATTCTGAAATAGAAAACCATAAAACGTAATACTTAAAGTGTGATCCTTTAACCTTTCGATATGGTCTGGAAACGGTATTAATATAGCCATTTTTTAATATAGCCATATAGAAATAAGCACCAAATACATATAGCAAGAGAGATTTGAAACCCAACAATAAAATATTACAAGAATGTCCCAGCCTGTATCCATATAAGTATGAAATCGTTATTAGTTCCTTTTTCTAAAATCAGATCAAACCACCGATGCATTCAACTCACCAATAAAGTATGATTCACTAATTTTTTTATGGGTAAAGTAAGAAGAGTAAAGTGAATTTAAAATACAGCTCCATACTCGATAAGTCTGTACTATGGAACCGTTGCCGTTGGAGTTAATGAATAAGGCCTCCTAAAGTGACAGTTGTTATTGAAAGTTGTGACACAATAGACCCAAAACAATGGGCCTAGTTTTATGGGTAAAGTTTATTTGAAACTGTTAGTCATTTTGACATCCAAAATCGAGCCAACGATGGATTGACCACCCCTCTGTATATTGTTGTTTCTGTATCTAGAATTTTGTTAGTATCGTCACCATGTGACTGCATGTCCCGAAAATAACGATTTTCATGATTATAGACGCTTTCCCAGTAGATGTAAACTCTAGGGTTATACATAGATTCCACAAATTCAAAACATAGTATCTGAATTTTGATGTTGGGAGCATTGGTAGTCGGAGGTTTTTGTTTAAATTCCGCATTTCAAATTCTTGTTTTTCAGAAACCAGTACCTGCCAGAATCTACTAGTTTTGCGAAAATTTTCTTTTATACCCTCCACCTCGAAATATACATTTTAGACCCCACAGAGTATATATTCTATGTCGATTTAGCGATGTCCGCCCGTCTGTCCGATTGTGAAAATCCGCCCGTCTAGCTTTCGAAGGGAATGAAATAGGTTGATAAAATTTTACCCAAATGTATATTATGTATGCATGACTTTTGGAGTTGAAAATGGGCCATGTAGGCCCACGTTTTGGTGTAATGGTACCCCCCTATCTTCGGTATTTTGGTGATTTAAGCGACATTATTCACCGGAAATTTTTCGAATTTGGTATTTAAAGTTCGTAGTGGATACTAAAATCTATGACAGAAAATTGTCTGTGCAGGTCCACGTCTTCATATAGCCCACATATAACGGTACCTCCCGATACTCGGTATTTTGATGATTTTAGTGACATTATTCACCGGAATTGTTTCAAATTTGTTATTTGAAGTTCGTAATGAATACTACAGCCTAGGACATAAAACTGTCTGTGCAGGTCCACGTCTTCATATAGCCCACATATTACGGCACATCCCGATATTCGGTATTTTGGTGATTTAAGCGACATTATTCACCGGAAATGTTTTAAATTTGGTATTTGAAGTTCGTAATGGATGCTACAGAATATGGCAGAAAATTGTCTGTAAAGGTCCACGTCTTCGTATAGCCCCCATATAATGGTACCTCCCTATCTTCAGTATTTTGTTGATTTAAGCGACATTACTCACCGGAAATGTTTTAAATTTTGTATTTGAAGTTCGTAATGGATGCTACAGCCTAAGACAGAGAAATGTCCGTGCGGATCCACGTTTTGGTATAGCCTATCTTATTTTCGATTTCATTAAGGAAAAATCGATTAAAATTTTTTACATTCTTTCAGTTCTGGAACAGAGCGTTTATGTAATGTGTCTAAAGCATGATGTAAAAGACAATCTCATCCGATTTGAAAGGGTACTTTTCAATCACAAAACTTCCATAGCTCAACTCAATCAGTTTATTATGTATTATTATTAGTTTTTTTAATAGTTATATAAATATTAACCCCCAAAAACATTATCCCTCATTGCATTTATGTTTTTTTCTCTATTCCCAATAATTGCAGCATTGCAAAAATATCTTTGTATGCACTTCAAACTACCACCACCACCACCACCACAACTACCCATTTACTAAATTCATCCCTTCCACCAAAAAAAAATCACAGTAGCTTCTTTTTGTTCAAAATTTCAACCTAACATTCGACAAAAGTAAACTCCAAAAAAAAAACTGATATTTACTTTATTCTTACTCCACAAACGCCAATAATCACCATAGGACTATCCGAGACAGCAGTTATGGACGTTATGTCTTCTTCACTGCAACAGCAACGTATTATTGTCGAACAATTGAGACGGGAGGCAGCCGTGGATCGCCAACCGGTGTCCGAGTCATGTGCTGCCATGATGCGTTATATATCGCAACATGAACAGGAAGATTATCTCTTGACCGGGTTCACCAGTCAAAAGGTCAATCCCTTCCGTGAGAAGTCCTCTTGCAGTGTTCTTTAAATGATGATAACTTAGATGTAATGATAAAAGGAGCTGGGAGGACGGAATGGGATGACGACGGCAGCGATGAGGGATGGCTAAGAAGGTGTGGAAATGAAAAAATGAGCAACGAAATAGTTAAGGAGAAGTGTAGATGGACAACACCACCAGTGACAGCTACTTAATTGGCAAAAAATAGAAACATCTCCTCTCAAACGTGGTCAACAAAACAACAAAAGGAACCAGAATAATATATCAGCAATAAATAGTTTTAAATATCTGCGGCGAAATCGAACAGCAACAACAACAAAGAGCGAAAACATTTCCAATCAAGTACTACTCAACAACAAATTACAACATATTTTATGATGGAATTTTTCAAATCATCATTATTATAATTATATGTATTACCAGTATATATGTATCCTCATATATATATATATATTCACATATATCAGAATTATATACACTTCTCTGTCTACTATATTATATATTGATATTTATGATAACAACAACAGTAAGAAACAAGTAAAGAACAAACATATTTAAAACTATTTATATTATCATATAAAACAAATTAATTACTTTATTATTATATTCCGATATATATATTTACTTGTATTGTTGTATTATCCAAGAGAAAACGAACCTTTTCAAAACAAAACTAAACTAAAAAAAACCCTGGAGAAAAATCCTGAATCATGCCGCCGTTGTCATCATTTGCAAAATATCTCATTAAAACGAAACTTTATTGACAAAAACCAAATAGAGATCTCTATTCATTTATTTTGTTTAGCTCATTTTACACAAAAAAAAAAACTGCACCATATTTTTTTTTAAGTTCAAATACAGAAAATAAACAAGAAAATATAAAAAAAACCAAACAGAAAATGACACAGCTAACACCCCAAAAAAACGAAGTAGGTAAACAAAAGAGACAAAACACTCACAACCACAAAACGACAAAAATGACAAAATTGCAACAACATTTGAATAAGTAAAATAAACAAAGCTTCCACTTTCCCGCCCCCTGTAATGGAAAAGATTAAGGCAAATTTAAGCATATTTTTTATCACTTAAATGAAACTAACCAAAAAATCGAAAAAAATCAAAACAAAATGAAAGCCAATAATTTTCCCCAAAAATTAATAATCCCATATTAATACCAAATATAATACTTACTAATACATAACAAAATGCTTTAAATAATTATACAAAATCTTCGAAAACAAATTTAAAATTAAAAATAATAAAAAAAATATATTTACTTCAATTTTTTTCTTCGTTATCAAAAATATTAAATATTAAAACCAAACTAAACGTTAACAAGTTATTAAATATTTACGAGTATTAGCTTAGTATACAACAAACCAGATTATTGAATTTTTTCCCCGCGGCTAACAAACTACAAAAGCAGGCCGCCGCGAACCTCAATTAACACATATTTAATCAAACTCCAATTTAAAAACCAAAAAACAAAACAGTTGTTTTAGCGCGCGTTTAAAACTAATTATATATTTTGCTAGCTACATTAAGCTTTAATGATTATAAAAAAAAAAAACATAACAATTACAATATATATCGTAGTTACTTTAAAAAGTTAATATTGTTAAACGGAGACCAACCGAAAATGCAGCATAAGTAATTAATTAAATTTTTTTTGGGCACTCTGCCACAAAATATTCCGTATATAACTATTATACATTAATAATCAAAAAAGAAAATGTTATTCCTTAGAGTGACATGAAGCCAATTAAGTTTTTAAAATGAGGCAATTGAATTAAAAGAGCGGGAAGGAAAGTGACAGAGAGACAGAAAGAGAGAGGGAGGGAGTGTTAGGTATGAGAGGCGACAGATTCTGTGAGTTTGGATGTAAGTTATTGCATTGAAGTCAAGTAAAGGCAGGGAATGGAAATTTAACAAGGGGTGATGAAATTATCACCCCCTCCCCCTAACAATAGCATAGGTTTTACCCTTCATAATCCATTTTGTGTTATTTTTTTTAACATATCCCCCGATTGGCTTGGCAACGAAATGAAAAACTTAAACATTGAAAAAAACCTTAAACATTGAAAAAAAAACCTTAAAAATTGAAAAGAAATTTAATATATAAATCTCCAAATTGATAGCAAATATTAACGTAGTCTTCTTGAAATTTAATTTATTGTGATATTAGTTATGGCTTCCATTTATTTGTAAAAAAAATTATTTTCCAAAAAAAAAGATACGAAACTGGGGATTGTTGAACTAAATAACACAAAATATAGATTTTAAAGGGGAAACTCACATGCATTTAAAAATGGTTTGGAAATTTCCCCAATAAAAATTGAGTACATCTATGGTGGAGGTTTTGCTATCGTGAGCAAATAGCCAAATCTTTAACATAAGGCGATCACTTTAGGGAGGAGTTTCCAGGCCATTTTTTGACATGTAGGTTTTCTTTTTTTACACGATTTTTTTGCCAAAATAGCAATAGTTTTTATTGTATCGTAAGAAAAAACAATGTTTTTATAGGTTGTGCTTAGGTTGCTATGGAAATAATTTGGTGGTGACAAAAGGTTGTTTGGGGGGTTTTCTTTGTCGTGAGCAAATCGCTAAAAGCTTTAACAAAATAATCCCATTTGCAATTTGCTTTTCCATTAGCTACCTTTATTCGTAATCAGGATTACAAATTATAAAACTCATTTAGGAAAATGACCTCCTTCTTCTCTAAGAAGAAAATAGTCAAGTTTTAGTTAGAATATTGAAGTAGTCCCGTGGGAAGATATAACTCTTTGGCAAGTAATAGTTGAACACATTACGTTGCGGGTTTTGTTGTCGTGAGCAAATAACAAAATCCCTAACGAAATAACTTCATTATGAGACAAAAGGGATATACTTTTCACTGAAATGGACTTGAAGAAAATAAAACAATTCCCTCATAGAAGAAGTTGAAACTGAACTGAAATTGTTGTGAGTTAAACTCCCTAAAATACCACTCTCATTACCCTGACAATTTAAATAACTACTTACAGGATTTTCTCAGGGTTCTCCAAAGAATCCCTGGAAATAATCCTAATTTCAAAATTCATTGTAGCAACTACTTTGCTAGAGAAGAATTATCTCGTTCGAATAACCTGGACAGAAAATATTGAAATACTCCCGAAGGAAGTGTAACTATTTGCCTGTTAATAATTGAACACATTACGTTGCGGGTTTTGTTGTCGTGAGCAAATAACAAAATCCCTAACGAAATACCCTCATTATAACACAAATTATTTATACTTTTTACTGCAATGGACTTTAGGAAAACATAAAAAGTTCCTACATAGAAGTTGGAGCTGAACAAATGATCTCATGGGGAAATACCCATTCTCGTAATCCTCTCAAAGAGAGGCCATTGTCCTGTCAACTTGAATGAACCTGGGAAAGATTTAGATATAGTTTTGATTTTTGATCGGCTTGGACGCTTGAAAATGAACAAATTACGTTGTGGGTTTTGTTGTCGTGAGCAAACATCAAAATCTATAACGAAATATCCTCATTCACGGCCTCCAAGTGGTCAAAGTGTTAAGACAGCATTCCATTAGAAAACATAAAAAGAGTTTCTACATAGAAGTAGGAACTGAACAAATGATCTCATGGGAAAATACCCACATCCTCGTAATCCTCTCAAAGAGAGACCATTGTCCTGTCAACTTGAATGAAAGATTTAAATAATTATAGTTTTGATTTTTGTTCGACTCGGACGCTTGAAAATGAACAAATTACGTTGTGGGTTTTGTTGTCGTGAGCAAACATCAAAATCTATAACGAAATACCCTCATCATTCGGGGCCTCCAAGTGGTCGAAATGTTAAGACAGCATTCCATTAGATACACAAAACAGTTTTGAATTTTGATTAAGTTGTGGGTTATAAATGAACAAATTACGTTGTGGGTTTTGTTGTCGTGAGCAAACCACAAAATCTATAACGAAATACCCTCATTCACGGCCTGTAGTTGGTTAAAATTCTCATTAATCAGGCAATTATTTAATTTATTTAAGATTAGGAATTACATTTTAGGTTTTACTGTCGTGAGAAAACATCAAAATCTTCAATGAAATTACCCCATTTAACTCGAAAATTTCAAAACTTTATAAAAAACTAAAAATGATCTCAGGAACTTTGATTTATTAAAACTGCAGTTAATAACTTAAAGTTCCCATAAATTAATATGACATAAACTAATTAAAATCATTAAAAAAAGATAAAAAATAAAAAAAAAAAACAATTGCATTATTTTAAAAACTATTTGCTTCAACATATTGAAATTGTTATTTAAAACTACAATTATATAAATTAACCAAACCAAACATTTACTAATCGTTTTCGCAAAGAAAAAATATTAAAAAAATAAACATATTTCATTGCAAAAAGAAAATACTCTTCTCAAAACAACAACAAAAACATCTAGTTGTTTGAAATTTGTCCCCGCCCCCCAAATGCGTTTAAACAGTTTTCTCAAAACTTCTTCAAAGCAATATTTGATTTAATGGCAGATTAAATCAAATTTTATTATTCTCAAAAGTTAAACGAAAAATAAAAAACAAATAAAATAAAAAATAAAACAAAATACATCAACACTGTTAAAATTTATTAATTCAAAACTAACAACAACTTTCTCAAGCTTCTTCTTCCTTACATTTCTAAACAAACAAACAAAATCTTACCGTGAAATCGATTAAAAACAAATTAATATTTGAGACACAAAGTTGCAAAGTTTCCAAGACGTTATTTTCAAAAAAATAACCACACAAGATTGATCTTTGAAATTTTGCCTTAAAACAAACAAACAATTACTCACACAAACAAACAATATACAAAACAAAAACTTGTTATATTTCCAAATATTTATATACAATATATAGTTACATTTAATTTATTGAAGATGCTAAATGTCGTCACACTTACCCCCTTGCCGTATACCGGACATTAGGATGAGTATGGTCGTACAACAAACACACTGTTTGGGGTGACAGACACTTCAGAAACAAACATTATTATACAAATACACAACAACAACAATAATAATAACAATTACAACAACAGAAACCACCAAAAGATATCACATCATAAATTCAAACCAACCATAATGAAGCAATAAAATCTATAAAGTTCGTTTGCTTGGAGAGATTTCAATAAAAACTACAAATTTAGATGTGTTAACTAGTGGGACACAGTAAAAAAAAAGAAAACAAAAAAATCTAAAATTCCCATTTGTGTTTTATTTCTAAACATAATTTGAATCTTGCATCAAGTAAAACCAAATAGAATTCATTAGCCATGGCCCTTAACTCAAAAAATAAAATTCTTGGTTGTTGCAGTTATGTTGTCATGCTCATGTCCAACTCATTTTGAACTGCAATGTCAGTCATAAAGATCCCCCCTCCCCTCCAAAGACAAAAGAAACATACAAAACAGTTTTAGTTTTTTTGAAAATATTATTTTTTTCTTAGCAAGAAAATCATCAAATTGATTTTATTCATTTGCAATATTTTTTTTATTATTATTTTTTTGATGAAAAGTTTTTGTGTGTGTGAATTTTTAGATAAATCTTAAAAAATTACAATGAAAAAAAACGAGAAGGGATTTCAACAGAAAACGTAAGTAAGAAAAGGAAAATAGAACATATTAATACATTACATCGCATCAAGCAGTACTGAATGAGGATTAACTTCGTTAAACGATACATGTTGGTGATTATATGATGATAAATGACCTAAAAGAATGATATTCATGTGTTTAGCTTTCATCGTCACTGCCAGCATTTTGACGTGGCTTGGGACCGCCAGCCCTTTTGGCCATAATGATTTGATCGACCTTCAGAATTGTGGTGGCAGCACCCACAGCATATTTCATGCCCCAGTATTTCGATTGGAAGAGATCGTAGATCTTGCTGGTGGTGACATCAACGGTTTCGGCCTTCTCAGCTTCAATGTTGAAACCAATGGTTTTACCCTTACCATCGGCATGGGCCAAATACAATTGATTAACCAATTCGGTGGCATTGATACCGGTGTTCTCGGCCAATGCCTTGGGGAATGCTTCTAAGGCAGCAGCAAAACGACGTACAGCATATTGTTCCAAGCCGGGCAATGTGTCGGCATAGGCAGCGATTTGTGTGGCCAATTCAATTTCAACAGCACCAGCGCCAGGAACATAGCGGCCATCGCGGGATAAACACTTGAAATTGTTGACACCATCATCAATGGCTCTCTCAATGTCGTCCATGAAATTGTCGGTGGCACCTCGGATAACAATGGTGGCAATGCGGGAATCTTTTCCTTCGTTTCTAAAAGAAATAAGAATTATTATTGACTTGTAACCACAGTACCATCAAAATATCTTTATCTTTACCTGAAAGCCACCACAGTGGTATCGCCCAATTCTTCAATGCAAACCTTATCACAATAGCCCAACTCCTCTTGGCTAGGTGTGGTAAGGCGTGGCAACACTGTGCCATTCACAGCTCTGGCCAAACGTCTTAAATCGAATTTGGAGTTAAGACGCACAGCCATAATGTTATATTTGTTGAGGAAATGCAGAGCCATGTCACCAACTTTGCCACCGGAAACAACTACTTTGGCACCGGTATCAGCAATAGCTTTAATTTGGTTTTCTAAAAGGCTTTCTTCGCCTGAGGAGAAATTCATCAACTCATCGGCAGACTTGATCAATACAGTACCCTTAGTTTCGGTCTGAATAATATCAACGGGGCAGGAGAATATAGCAATTTTGGTTTTTTCCGCATAGGTGACATCACCTTCAACGAAACGTTTGAATACCATGCCATGAACGACTTCGGATTTGGACAAACCACTGCCCAAAATCTTGCACACACGAATGTTATCCACATTGAATGTACCCTTATCGGGTAAAATGGAAACACAGGCCTTGGTCACCAAATCGGTGAGGAAATCTTCTTGGCCATATTGTTTGGACATAATGGCAGATTTCATTACTTCTTTGACCTGAGCAACATCACGGAAATCCTTCACTTCATGGCACACCAATTTGGGCAAAATTTCAAGGGCCTTTTCCAAAGCTTTTTCATAGCCATCGGCAATCTCAGCTGTTGTTATGCCCAAACGCAAAAGTTCTTCGGCTTTTTCCAGCAAGGCACCAGCAAATATGACAACAAAATTGGTGCCATCACCTACTTCGGCATCTTGCATCTGACTGGCCATGACCATCAACTTGGCAGCTGGATGTTCAACATCCAATTCACGCATAATTGTGCCGGCATCGCTGGTCACAAACTGCTTTTCAATGTGATTGATGATCATCTTGTTCATTCCATTGGGACCATAGGCGGAACGCATGGTCTGTGCGAATTCTTTGCAGGCTGTGATGTTACGGTAAACAGCCTCTTCCAAACCGCTGTACATCTTTGAAAGTAAAACAAATACATGTTACAATTTATGTTATGATTAATAATTTTACGAAATTTTTGCAATTTTTCAAACATTTGCTTAATTTTGTCGTCCCGTGATGAGTCAGTCGGACAGTCATGACTATGACATACTACCCACTGCCGGCGGCAGGGGGGCGGGCAGCTGCGTTCTTTATGAACCGCATGACATACGTTTTGTTTTCGACAAGTTTCTCAATTAAATGGCTTGAAATTTGCAAAAATTTCATTGTCCATGGATGACTTTTACTTACCCGTGCTCCATCCTTGAGCATTTGAGGAACTCCAGGTGCTTTGGGAACAGATAAAGCCATTTTTATTCACAGATTTTTTCAACAAACGGTCAGGGCAGCACAATGGAAACAAATTAACCTCACTCTTGGGGCAATGCCGACAATTAAACACCGCTGAGTCCAATTTGTCGCAGTTGCAATAAATAGTAGCAAAGAAATTTGTAGAAAGAAATAGATTCATGCAATGGGAAGTGATAGCACATAACGTAAAAGGGAATTGATACAATGTGGCATCACTTGGCAAGACGAAATGTCATTTATTAGAGTAGAGTAAAAGAATCTAATTGGAATATACTTTAGAAGTAGAGTATGTTGAAGAGTTCTTAGAGCATTCTCAGTATTTTAACGTTTTTTTTAATAAAATATTTTAGATAAAAGCAAATCTGACTTAAAAAAAATAAAATAAACAACTTCGCTGCTTGCTTCTGCTCACTTTGTGTGGCAACTCTGCCATTTATAAGCGCAATGGGAATTGATAGCACATAACGTAAAACGGAATACAATGTGGCATCACTTGGCAAGACGAGATGCCATTTAGATGAGTAGAGTTAAATAATCTAATTGGAATCTATTTTAATTTTAAAAGTAGAGTAAGTTGAAGAGTTCTTTTAACGTTTTTTAATAATATAATTGAGATAGAAACGATGTTATCTTTAAAAAATTGAAATAAACAACTTTGCCCCTTGCTTCTATTTCTCGTTTTGAATAACATCCTCTTTTGGACATTTTAGTGTACTTTGTGTGGCAACTCTGCTATTTATAAGCGCCGCCAAGGAACTATTGTTGTAACTACCCTCTTATCCTCTGTTGGGGGAGATAACTTCTGTCATTCGTGTATCATTGATATTTTATGGTTCAGAGTGACATTGAGTGGTATTGATTTCGAGAAAAAATATACAAACTATCGGAAGTCAGCGAAAAATAGAAATTAGTATTTAATCAATACACAACCTAGTCATTGGATAGTAAGTAGAGTGTTGTTTATTAAGAAAAAGTTGTTCACTAGATTATTTTCTAGATTACTGATCAGGAATTGCATGCAAAATTGCAAAGCCCGAAAGCCACAAGTGATTAAAATTATACTAGTTAGAGACCCTCATTTTCTGCTCCCCGTAATTATTTGTGTGTGGCTTTCAAAATAGGACTCGCCGAAACTGCCCTACTTGATATGATGGCTGCCAATATACAACAGCAGCGAATAATCAACGAACAGCTGCGGAGGGAAGCGGAAATACCGCGTATACGGGTATCGGAAACATGTCGAATTATGATGAAATATATGGCGGACCATGCAAACGATGATTGCCTCTTGAATGGATTTCCCAGTCAAAACCTAAACCCGTTTAGGGAAAAAAGCTCATGTAGTGTTTTGTAAACAGGCATATTGTCGGCCGTGAACACACCCTTTTCTACTTGTAAACAAATGTTCCTGTGGTTATGTAACTGTTGCTGCATTCACCCGTGCTAATCCTATAAGCATGTAAGCAGCATATCCCCTTCAACCCATTCCAAAGTAAAACAAGGAACTCAATTATTTTGTCAGTAGTGAATACTGCATATACATACATACAAACCTACAAAAACATACATAACAACAACAACTTTAGCCGTCTATTTGTTATACTATTTATATTTATACAAACCAACAAAAAAAACCAAGACTATTTTAAGATCATCTTACAGGCATACAATGTATGTATATATACACCATATGGACTAACCACAATTTCAAATATATATATATACATACATGTGTATGTATGTATATCCATACAGTGAGCCATAAAAAACAAGTATGCCAGTTAATTATTGAATTTACCCAATCTGTAATAGCTTATGAATGTGGTATTTATGTAGCTAAAGCTGATAAGGATTTTTTCGATTGTTAGTATGGAATATTAGCGTAATTTCTATGCTTTGTTAGTATGTGTTATCAGGTGATATATCAAGTAATTATGTCCGCACAATATTGTTTGGATAAAGTTATTATTTTTGGAAAATCTCGCCATATTGGGACAGGGTTATGTATGTCGAAAGAAATTAAATGCCAAAGAAGGACACCACTTCTATGTGTGTTTTTCATTTTTTTTTACTTTTTAAAAACAACAAAAATTGTAAAGTTGTAACATAAAAACATGCCCTTCATATGTTAATTAAAAATATTTAGGGCTTGTTTATCTATAGTGATACAAAGCTAAATGCGAAAAAACAATATTTCGAGTTGAATTTTTAATTTTTTTATATTTATTTTAATCAAAAATTTGAAAAATCATATTTTTAATGGCATTTTGGGTTTGCATTTATTTTCGTATTGTTATAACGAAACAGACCCTTATAATTTCTTCATCTTTCGTTACTAATTTTTGTGACTCACTGTATCTAAAGAACTTAATTTTATACAAAAAACAAACATAAAGCCAGCCTACTTTCTATTGGAGTAGTTGTCTATGGACCTGGGTCAATAAATTCTGCTCAATATCCTTTGGCAACAATGTCTGTTTTGCCTTGGGATTCATACATAAAATATATATCATTTAAAATAATACAAAAAAAAAAAAATACAAATAATTAACTAATAGTATGAATGTATTATTTTCAATATACACAATACTATTTACATAGGAAACTATATTCTACAACTATAAATAAATGGGAATCTTTAAAAAAAAAAACTAAAAAAAAAATTAATAAAATTTTATAGAACATATCAATAGAAATGAAATTGTTAAATGTGTTTTTGATGGGGTGGGTGGAATGGTTGATTTTCAAACAGGTCAAAAAGGAACCGATAAGATGATGTTTTTGTGGAAAAAAATTTATTCGGATAATATATTCTATGAGAGAACTTTATTCGGATAATATTTTTTAAAGGAAAATTCATAAAGGTTTCGAAAAGGCCCCTTAAAACTGTACTACCAGATAATCGATATACCCCTACCATAGTATGGAGGGTATATTACGTTTGTTATTAATCGACCGTGGCATCAGAATAAATGCCGAATATTATCACGAAAATATTCTGGAGGGGGTATTAAAGCCTTGCCAGCATTTTGGCGCAAACCTTGGACATTCCAACAGGACTCAGCTCCATCGCACTCTGCTCGCGCCACCTAAAATGAGGTTCCTCGCTTCAATTCCAGCGCACAATGACCACCAAAATCTCCGGACTATCGTGTCTGGAGTATTTTGGAAAGCAAGGTTGGCACTAAAAATACCAAAGTGTCGATTACCTCAAGCAAGCGCTTCGCCCGGAATGGGCCAAAATACCGCAGAGTAACATTCGGGCAGCGTGTGACGGTTTCATTGGCCGTTTGAAGGCCATAATTCGTGCCAAAGGTGACCAATTCGAACAAATCTAAACTTATTCTAAAATTTGATGCTATTTCCGACATTTTTTGCTTTCATTCAATAAAATTAAAAACAAAAATGTAAAAATTATGGCATTTGACTTTATTGCAGTTTTTTTATCTCTCCCTGTATATTCTTGATCAGCATAAAATTCTATGTCGATTTAGAGATGTCCGTCCGTCAGTCCTTCTGTGGAAATCACTCTAGCTTTCGAACAAAATTAAGTAGGTTCGTAAAATTTTACTCAAATATATAGTATGTCTGCATGACTTTTGGTATTGAAAATGGGCCATGTAGGTCCACGTTTTGGTATAGCCCCCATATATGATACCTCCCGATATTCGGTATTTTGATGATTTTAGCGACATTATTCACCGGAATTCCATCAAATTTGGTATTTGAAGTTCATAATGAATACTACAGTCTATGGCCGAAAATTGTCTTAGAAGGTCCGAGTCTTCGTATAGCACCCATATAACGGTACCTCCCGATATTCGGTATTTAGATGATTTTAGCGACATTATTCACCGGAATTGTTTCAAATTTGGTATTTAAAGTTCGTAATGAATACTACAGTCTATGGCCGAAAATTGTTTGTGCAGGTCCACGTTTTGGTATAGCCCCCATTTTCGGTATTTTGGTGATTTAAGTGAAATTACTTACCGGAATTCTTTCAAATTTGGTATTTGAAGTTCGTAATGGATACTATAGCCTATGACAAAAAATTGTCCATGCAGGTCCTTGTCTTCGTATAGCCCCCATATAACGGTACCTCCTGATATTCGGTTTTTCGGTGATTTAAACGACATAATACAGCCTACGACAAAAATTGTCTGTGGAGGTGCACGTCTTCGAATGGACCCCATATTACATAACCTCCCCTATATTCGGTATTTTGATGATTTTAGGGACATTATTCACCGGAATTGTTTCAAATTTGGTATTTGAAGTTCGCAATAGATACTACAGCCTATGATAGAAAATTGTTCGTGCAGGTCCTCGTTTTGGTATAGGTCCCATATAATGGTACCTCCCGCAATTCGGTATTTTTATGTTTTTAGCGACATTATTCTCCGGAATTGTTTTAAATTTGGTATTTGAAGTTGGCAATGGATACTACACACTATGACGGAAAATTGTCTGTTCAGGCCCACGTCTTCGTATAGGCCCCATATAAGGGTACCTCCCGATATTTGGTATTTCACGTCGTCGTATCGACCCTAATATAACGTCTACATTCGGTATTTTTAAGATTTTAACAAAAATTTTTAACGGATTTTTTTGACAAATTCGTTCCAAATGGCCCGGCCCGACCGAACTTACAGCTTTTTTCCTCGTTTATGATTCAAATTTGGAGCTTGCCATGGGTACTATTTCCTATGACAGAAAATTGACTATACAGATCCACATATTCATAAATAGACCCTCAATCATGTATTTGGTAGAATTAAGAAGGTAACTCTAGGCAATCATATATTTACAATTTTTTTCAAAATTATTTCTTTGATCTTACCTCATTGTCATAAAGTGTTTTTAGAACTCCATTGTATTGACACAAATCAGAGATGGGAACTTGTTTCTTAGGCAGTTACATCTGACAAGATAAATCAGAGAAAAATGAAGAGCTGGATATCTTTGTTAGAAATAAGACAGCTTTCCAAAAACTGTACCATGCGTATACCTACTATTATTTAAATTTCCACAAATCAATCATACGCCTGCTTCATTATCTTAGAAATAATTCCCTCCAATATTTAACTAAACAACGTTGAAGAGTGCGACTGGATCCTTAAAACGCTACCCACTTTGTCTGCGACTAGGACACACAACAAATCGGTGCCAGCAAGTAATGTGTAATAATCGAGAACAAAAGCCGCCACTCTCATAATGATGAATTTATGCCCGGCTGTGTGTGTGCTCGTGATAAATATCTCTATTAAAAATGTGACGTTTCTAAAGGTACTTGACATGTCATTTATGTATTTTTAAGTACTTTTAGGTGCTCCATAGAAATTATGAATGCAATGCAACAATAACAACAAAAGCAAGAAAATAGAACCCCTTACTAGCTGCAAAAAAAAAAAAGCTCAACAATACTGGAAAACATGTGAATGCAAATTTACACAGGCATCTACAGCAGTTTGTGAAGGCAAATTCAAGGGGACGTTAGGTGTTTTTTTTCTTAGGGGAAAAACACTCAAGAAAAAATTTGAAATATTTTAAATTCCACATGAACTGAGCTAACAACTATATGAGGTGATGTTCCATACATTTACTACTATATTTTTTATTTTATGTCTTATTTTTCCATTTTTTCTTTTTTCAATCCAGTGGAAAAAAACCCACCCATTGTTGGTTCAATGACCCAGCCAGCGATTGCATGTTGACAAACTCAGAAAAACCCGCGCCGGGCATACATTCCCATCTCACACAGAGCTATTGCATTGCTTTATTCATGCACAGCCATACATACATATCTAATGTATGTTTTAACAGTGGTTGGAAACAAAACACAAAATCATCACAGAATGCATTGAAAACCATTACAAAGAGAGAAAAGAGAAATTTTGAAAAGCACACACACAAGAGAAACGCCTTTACAGAGAAATTATGGGTGTGTTATGTTATTTATGGCAAAAAAACACCATATGTTGCTCTTAGCATGGCAAGAGAAAGTTCACGCTCTCTCTATCTCTTATGTTATGGAATAGAAGGAAATCATTAAGAGATTTGATATGTAGTAAATGACATAAGGATTTTAATTTGATGTTTTTATTTTAAAATTAAAAGATTTTTTGAGTTTTGCCTTAAATGAAAAATTCAAATTAACAGTTATTAATAATATATTTAACTGTTTTACATAGTCTTAGTCTGCCCTTTCTCTCAATTATTTCTTAATTCTCATTTGGTCGATGACTCTTTGGTTTTTAAAAATAATCAGGTCATTTAATATATGAGCACGTTCTGATTTTAACTGTTTTGTTTTTCTGCCTGCATATGCATAAATATGTAGGTCACATACATCTGTTCTCACCGAAATGTAAATATAGGCAAATATGTATGTACATAACATACAGTCCCTAATTACTTTAAAATTTGTATGCAAATATATTTCATAAGAGAGGAATTGTTTTTTGAGGAAAAAAGGGAAGTTACATGAAATATATAAACACTATAATTATTTCGAGAGGAAAACAAATCGAGAAAGGCAGTTTGGGTAATGTTATTTATAGGAGAAAATTATGAGGATATTTTCTCAGAAAAATATTATCTGGATAATATTTTCTTTAAAAAAACTTTATCCGGATCATATTTTTTATCAAAAAATATCATCCGGGTATTATTTTCTATAGATAAGCATTGTACGGATAATATTTTCTATAGAAAAACATTATATTGATAATATTTTCTATATAAAACATTATCGGGATATTTTTACAGGAAAACGCCCTCTGGGTAATATTTTCTATCGAAAAATATATCCGGATAATTTTTTCTGTTGGAAAACATTATCCGCATAAAATTTTTTATAGAAAAACATTATCCGGGTAAAATTTTCATTAGAAAAACATTATCCGGATAATGTACTCTTAGCAAATCATTATCCGGATAATATTTTATATAGAAAAACATTATCTGGATAATATTTTCTATAGAAAAACAATTTCCAAAAACTTTATTAGGATAATAATTTCTTTCCAAATAAATTATACGGATAAATTTTTCTGTAGAAAAATTTTATCCGCAGATTTTTTTTTTTAAAAAGACATTATCCGGATAATGCATTCTTTAGAAAAACATTATCTATATAATATTTTCTGTAAAAAAACCATTCGGATAATATTTTTTATAGAAAACATTATCCGGATAATATTTTCTATAGAAAAACATTATACGCAAAAAATTATCTTTAGAAAAATATTATCCGGATATTGTTTTCTGCATAAAAACTTTATCAGAACGTTTTTTTCTGTTGGAAAACAAGATCCGGTTAATATATTCTATAGGAAAATATTATACGGATAATAATTTCTATAGAAAAACATTATCCTAATATTTTTTCTATAGAAAACCATTAACCGGATAAAGTTTTTTTAGAAAAACATTATCCGGATAATACTTCCTATCGAAAAACATTATTCGGATAATATTTTCTATAGAAAACATTATTTGGATAATATTTTTTATAAAAAACATTATCCGGATAAAATTGTCTATAGAAAAACATTATCCACAAAAAATTCTCTTTATAAAAATATTATCCGGATATTATTTTCTATATAAAAACTTTATCCGAATTTTTTTTTGGAAGGAAACATTATTTTTTGTAGAAAACATTATCCGGA